CGATCCCTGGTCGGGGCAAGCGTTGGAGGCAACTAATCAATGCTTCTCTCACACATCAATGTTTCTCTGTCTATCTATTATCTATCTCATGCTCTCACTCTCTCTTGCTCTCCCTTTCTTTCTCTCTAAAATCAATAAAAACATATTGGACAGACATCTAATTACAGCTTAGATACAGAATAAGCCCAAATGACAATCACAGAGAGACCCCTAAGTCCAGGTATACCACACAGTGACCTCCCAATGCCAACCACAGAAGAGTCCTAACCAAGTGTGAGTCCCCAGGGCAGCCTATCGAATCTTTCTGCGTTCCCAGCCTTGACCTTGGTGTTGGGGCTTTGGACAGTCAAGTCACAGGCTGGGAAATTCCTGAGCTGAGTTGAAAGAGAAGGACAGAGCGCCCGGGGTTAGGGCTGCCTTCTGACAGTGGGTCACTAAGATTTCCCTGCAGGTGGCTGCTCTGTTCTGAGGCTGCCTGGGATCTCACACAGGCCAGCCTCACCCCCTGACAGCTGGCCAGACCCTGTGCTGGCCAGAGCAAAGTAGGGTCCAGCACCCAGCGGATGTTCATTAATAATTTTTTTAATGAATCAATGTTAATAATTTCTTCCCTGTGCTCCAAGTTCTCCATCAGTGCCCCTCTCTCCTGTATCTCCGTACACCCTGCTCCCCCTTCAGCATTTCCACACACTCAAGTCTCCCATCTCACAAGCGTTGTCTGCACCCTCTGAGTCCCGCACCATCTCTTCTCGCTCCTCACACACCCAGTCTGGTGTCCACCCCTCCTGCCTCCCCACAACTGTTCTCAGTTACATCAGCAGCAGCAACCTGGGCACTAAGCCCAAAGGCCACTGTGCACTGCGCATTGTACTTGGCCTCTCCGAGCAGCTGACACAGCCGCCTCCCGCCCCTCCTTTGTGAATGCTCCTCCCACCATGTGTCCAGCCTCCTCCACACCAGCCCTGAGTCCCTCCAGGTGCTATCCCAGGAATCTTCTTACTCCATCCTCTCCCTGGAGAGTTCACCGTCTCTCCATCCCTACACCCCAAGCTTCAATCCCATCTCTATGAAAATGACCAGATTTTTACCTCCAGTCCAGACCCTCCTTCTAAACCTGGCCCCCAAATACCCAGCTGCTCACTGGCATCCCCATTCGTGTCTCAAGCATGTCCGACTCAGCACTTAGAAGTCAAGCCCTCGCCCTCCCTTCCGGGTCACGCCATCTCAGAGAAGGGCTGTAACCATTTATCCAGTTGATCCTACCTCTCCCAGATCCTCCGATCTCATCAGTCTACCTCGTAGGAAATCTGAGACCTGACTGCTTCCAAATAACCTCACAGGGCCTTCAGAGTCAGGCCACCATCCTCTCCTCACTGGACTCCTGCAGAAGCCTCCCGACTCATCTCCCACTTTCCACTCTGCTCCTTCCCACCCACTATCCACACAACAACCACAGTGATTTGTCCCATCATCTACGCCTCTGACTAAAACCTTCAGTGATTTCATTGCCCGTCGGCAGGATGAAGCCCAATATCTTCAGCAGAACTTCCAAGGGTCTGACTCTCCGTCCCTAAGGGTGGATGCTCTGGCCATGCTGGTCTCCTGGTTGGAGAAGCCATGGCTCTTCTGCCCCAGAGCATTTCAGAGGCCACAGCAGTGCTTCTTGAGTGGAAAGTACATGTGAATGGGGATGGTGCTAAAATGCAGATTCTGATTCAGTGGTCTGGAGGGAGGCCTGAGATCCTGCACTTCTACGGAGCTCCCAAATAATGCAGGTGTGTGTGGCCTCCTGGCCTCACTTCGAGTAGTAAGTGTCTAGAACACTCTCCTCCACCCTCAGTTGACTCCTACTCAACTCTCAGGGTTCAGCTTAAACATCATTTCCTCAAAGAAGCCCTCCTTGACACTCTCCGAGATTAGTTAGATTCCCCCTCCACAGACTTTATATTGTCCCCCCGTTATGCTGTACTTCTCCTTTGGAATATTCACATCTAACTGTCCATCCCTCATTCTTAAAATTATTTTTTCAACTCTTGTCTCCCTAGCTAGACTACAAGTTCCAGAACAGGGACCACAATGTCACGTGGTCAGCATTCTTCTCAGAGTAACACCTAAATTTTCCTTTGAGGAGCCACCCCTCTCCCACTCTTGGTTCTTAGGGTTTAGGTGGTGGAGATGAGACCAAGTCTAGTCAGTCAGAGCCTTCCATCTCTCTGGTTGCAATGATTGGTTCAGAGATAGACATGTGACCTAAGCCAGGCCAATGAGCTTCCTCCCTGAGCCTTTTGTTAGAACTACTGGGGAAAAGAGACTCTTCGCTTAGCAAGTAGGAGCAGCTGTCACATTCCTGTCATCACAGAGACAGAGTTGAACAAAAAATGAAACCAATACAGGAAAGAGGTAAAAAGCGACAGATGTCATGGATGCAGCCGTGCCTGGAGTCTATACTTGCCATTACGAAGGCAATAAATTCCCATTTATTCTTAAGCCAAAGTGAGTTATGTTTCTGTCACTTGAAACCAAGAGTCCTGACTAATACGACATTCAAATAAATGTTGGGTGTTGAATGAATTACATGAGTATGGGAGCAATTGAAGACTGCCAAGAGGACTCAGTGACTCCTCCTAGGAAACTTTCAGAATTCTCCCTGCACTCTCCCGCCATCCATGAGCAGAGACAAGCACCCCACACCCCATCTTGCAGACCAACGTGCTGAACCTCACAATGGCCATAGGCTTCTCAGCAATCTGCCGTGCAAACAAGCCACCCAGCCCCTGGCTCAGATACAGCATTGACTGAAGGTGGTCTGGCTGTCAGTGCTCCCAGGGTACCCCACAAGGAGGAGAGCAGGGCGGTCCTCAGTCAGCCCTGTACCCCACCCACTCCTGAATCCTAGTCCAGTGGTCGGCAAACTCATTAGTCAACAGAGCCAAATATCAACAGTACAACGATTGAAATTTCTTTTGAGAGCCAAATTTTTTAAACTTAAACTATATAGGTAGGTACATTGTTATTCACTTAATTAGGGTACTCCTAAGCTGGCCTTTGCTAAAAACGTCCTCAATCTGATTGAGGTACGTTCGCTGAGGTCGACCCCTTCCAACTCTCCCATCCACACTCGTCTTGTATACTTGTTTCATCTATCTCCTTTCATTCATCCTCTCTGTATGTCCAAACCATCTCAACATACCTTTCTCAATCCTCGACACTACATCTTCTTTCACACCACAACGTTCCCTAAAATTAACTTAATAAACTTTACTTAAAGTTTTAGGTCAACTTCACATTGTACGTGCACACCTGCACGTGGTATTTTGTGGAAGAGCCACACTTAAGGGACCAAAGAGCCGCATGTGGTTCGCAAGCTGCGGTTTGCCGACCACTGTCCTAGTCCCACCAGGGCAGGCGCTGGCTGCCATCCAGTGATATTGCCCCTCAGTGCATACCACACAGCTCTGTGCACGGTGAGCATTCAATATGAGATGATAATGGAAAGGTGGGTTTTTTTTATCTGCTTTCTTTGGGGGTATCACTTTGCAACAGATTAGTTCAGGGAAGAGGGGGTGCAACAGAGAGCAGCCCTAATTATCATAATTACCGAACTGTCCATCCCTCATTCTTAAAATTATTTTTCCAACTCTTGTCTCCCTAGCTAGACTACAAGTTCCAGAACAGGGAAGAGAAGGGCCCTAACTGTTTCCCTGTGAGTCACCTCACAGCAGAGCTCCAGGACAGAGACGAAGGCTGGCCTACATGTCCCCTCAGCTGATTCAGGCGGCGGGTGACTTCTTCAAAGCTAGCCCTCACCTGGCAAAATGCAAGGGAGGGAGAAGAAAAGGGAGGGAGGTGCATTGCTGCCTGGGCAGGGATACTGCCTGAGCCAAAGTCCTCCCTGAAGGCCACATCAGGTGTGTGTGGCCATGTCACCAAGGGGGACTAACGTAAAGGGGGAGGGGCATAGTGGGGGGAGGGTGCTGCCCCCTCAGCTCCTTTCCAGGAATGAGATGGGCCTGGGCATGGGGACCTGGGATGTGGTTTCCCAGGAGAGAGACTTCTGAATAAAATGGTAACAGGAAAAGAATTACCCAGAACCTCTAAGGCAGGGGTCCTCAAACTACGGCCCGTGGGCCACATGCAAATACAAATATTGTATTTGTTCCCATTTTGTTTATTTACTTCAAAATAAGATATGTGCAGTGTGCATAGGAATTTGTTCATAGCTTTTTTTTTAAACTATAGTCCGGCCCTCCAATGGTCTGAGGGACAGTGAACTGGCCCCCTGTTTAAAAAGTTTGAGGACCCCTGCTCTAAGGCAACTCTCCTGCAGGCACTGGGTGACAGGGCCAGCCTCAGAAGGCCAGTCGGAGGCAGGTAGACCTGCGTGCAAGTTCCATTCAAGAACCAGGAGATGCCCAACCAGTGTGTGGCTCAATGGTTGAGCATTGACCCATGAACCAACAGGTCACAGGTTGCGGGCAGGAGGCAGCCGATCAATGATTCTCATCATTGATGTTTCTATCTCTCTCGTCGTCTCCCTTCCTCTCTGAAATCAATTAAAAAACCATATCTAAAAACGTCTTTAAAAGAACCAGGAGGGTCCCAGCCCATGGGACCCTCCTTGCCCATCCCCAGGCCCTGGCAGCCCTTCTGGGCAGTGGCCCCTTAAGGCACTAGCCTGCAGCTACCTGCTAAACCGTTCCCGCTTCCTCTTGCCTGGAGCCCTTGTTCCGGAACCCCACAGCTCCACAAGGCCTCTCACTAATTACCAAGCATCCTGCCAACCCCATCAGCCCAGTCTATTTCCTCACCCTAACACCCCTGAGTCTCAGTCACACTTCCCTCCCGTGCTGCTGAGCTCAGGTGAACGCTGCTTCCAGAGGAGGCTGGGCACCCCGTGCCCTCACTGGGCAGGCGCAGCTGGGCCGGTGCCGAAACAAAGCAGAGCCTTGAGCTGCACCCCTTCCCCACCCCTCCCCACTTACCAGCTCTAAGCCTCTTACCTTCATGGTGGGAGGTGCCGTGAGAGGAGGGGACAGCGACCGGTCGGGCAGAGGCACATCCGAGCTGTTGGCCAGCTCCTGCTTCCTGTGAGGAGGCCACAGAACACAGAAGAGGTGAGTGAGGGCCTGCCCGCACCATCCATTCTCTCCTCCAAAGCGCTGGGCTTGGGGGCACAGTCCGACACACACTGAGCAAACCAGAGTGGGTGCATTTCCCGGCTGGGATGGAGTAAAACCCAGAGCAGGGCTGCTCCACGTGTGGTCCCTGCTCCAGCAGCAGGAACTTGTGAGAAATGCAAATTCTCAGGTGCACCCCAGGCTCTCGGGTGACGGGGCCCAGGAATGTGCATTTTAACCATCTCTCAAGGTGGTTCTGACGCACGCTGAAGGCTGAGAACCATGGGGCTAAAGAGGCACAGGACTGTGGCTGGATGGGAGAAGAAGGGGAGAGGGGTGAACATTTTCTATTCGTCCTCTCTGTGGCCCCTCTGTCCCTCACCACACCACACACACACACACACACACACACACACACACCCCAGCCAGACAGCTGACCTTGGGAGGAAGGGGCTGCCTGCTGTGTGAGCTGCAGGTGAAACTTATTTTAGTCCCTGTGGGCTAGGACCATGGGGAGACGGCGAAACAGAGTTGTGTCGCCATGACAACATGATTGCGACAGGTTCCCGGCTCTCGCACACCCCCCACTTTCCATCTGGCCCTTCCAGTGACCAGGGAGTGCGAGTGCACAGTCTGATCACCAGGCAGAATGTTTGCAGTAGGATAAGGCCTCGGGACAGTGGTTACGCAACAGCCAGCTGGGCAGAGCCCGGGGGAGGCCCCGGACGAGGGACTCTGGCGTCCTGGACGTGCCCTAGTTATGTCCTGGGACGGGAGGGAGAGCAAGGATAACAGTACAAGGAGCCTAAAAAGATCAGGATGAACCATCCAAGCCCCGACTTTGCAACTGTTTCCTTCTCCAGAGCCCCAGCCTGAAGCTGCTGAGTCAGTCCAACACCTGGTCCCCCTTAAACGACCAAGGAACACCCCCTGCCAACTCGAGAGAATGTTTCTGCACTTCTTTCCAGCCCACGTACTGCCAAAGGTGGGGTCACAGCTCCAACCCCAACCTGCTTCATGAGAGCAGCCCACCTCTGCAGAGCCCAGCCCTTTGCCCAGAGCACACCCTTGTCCTGGGCCCAGCCACCACCCTGTCCCGGCTCCTCTCAGCCAGACAGGCCCAGACTTAGAGAAGCCAGGCCAGGTGCCCCGGGCCCTGTCCACCCTGACACAACGCCTGCCTGCCCCGCAGCCTGTCCTCCAGGAAGCGCGATAAGGAGGCTGCGTGCACATCTGGCTGGGAGAGGCTCCCTGTGACCCCTTAACCTCAACCTGCCAACTCGCCCTCTGCTCCTCCATCTGCCTTCCTCCCCCTTTCTTTGGTTTTTTTAAAATATATTTTTTATTGATTTCAGAGAGGAAGGGAGGGGGAGAGAGAGATCGAAACATCAATGACAGAGAATCATTGAGCGGCTGCCTCCTGCATGCACCCTTCTGGGGATGGAGCCCACAACCCGGGCATATGCCCTGACCGGGAATCGAACCATGACCTCCTGGTTCATAGGTCAACGCTCAACCACTGAACAACGAGGCCGGGCTTTCCTCCTCCTTTCTTCTTGGACGTTGGCCTCACTCTGATGGCTGGAGAGGGGGTCTCCTCCCTCCTGATCCAAACTATAGCTAGCTCAAGAACCAGCAGGGCCAACACGCAGCACACGTACACACACACACACACACACACACACACACGCATGCACACACACAAACACACACGAATGAACGCAGCTTCTTCTAGCTCTCAGCCAGAACCCCCAACCTTCCCTTCCACCATGGGATCCAGCCTGGCTGCTCCGGCCCTCACTTGCCTGTGGTCCACCCAGGCCCATCCCTCCTGCCACGCTGCCCTCTCCCAAGCAGCCACGGTCCCTCCTCTATGGGCTGCCCCCCTGAGAGCCATGGTGGGGAAAGGGAAGGGAGGAAAAATGATCAAGGATAAGGAGCACCACCCTCAGGTCCCCTGAGGTGAGGACAGAGGAAGGCAGCTCCCCTTGGGGGCTGGGAGCCTGGTAGGGAAAAGCATGCAGGGAGGGGAGGGGAGGCAAGCCCCCCTCCCCCCAGAGACTATAGGACAGCTGGGGGATAGCTGAGGACCTCTGGCCTGCTCCGCTGGAGATGAGTTGTGGGCCAACCTGACCAATAGCTGCCCCGGCTCCCCAAAAACACACACTTTAGGGGAGGGCAATACCGGCAGGTTTTTACACCGGTGGCCAAGGGATGCTAGTGTACATGGTTCCCTCCATAAGGCACAAGATGTCCACTCCCATGAGGCCAGAGCAGATGCTCCCTGGACTGAGCCCCTCTCCCCTGCGCCAGCCTGTTTGCCCCGGATGCTGGAATAACCTCCAGGGAGCGGTAAGGACTCTCAAGTGGGAGCTCAGGGTGTCTCCCACCAGAAGGATTTCGAGCAAGCGTCGCTTGGAGCCTGGCCCTGCTGACACTTGACTTTGGACTTCTAGCCTCCAGAACGAAGGCAATAAATGTCTGTTATTTCAAGGTCCCCCCCCCCCATTTGTGCTACTTGGTTACGGCAGCCCTAGGAAACAAAACACTGCCCAAGTCCCCGGCTCTAGCCTTGGCTTTGTAACTAGAAGACCCAAAACAAGGAGGATGAAATCCCTGCTTCAGCCTCGCACCCCTGCTGTGGTCAGCTGGGCCCCACCTTGTTCTGCCCCAGCCTTCACAACCAATGACATTCGAGTGCCAGCCACCCTCCCAAGGACAGCCAGCCCGCCCGGCTACCGGCTGGCACTGCAATAAGAACTACAGTGCTCGATGCAGTTCCAGCCCTTTCTCAGGCAAACGTCACACATGAGTAGGTGAGAGTGACACGGGTCTATCAAGGGGTGACCTTGAATCTGATCTAATTTTTATAAGTGAAGAGTAAATTATTAGCAGAGGTGGGACCCTCACTATTCTCTGTAATATCTTTCTAGTAGCCCACAGTGATCTTGACATGTATCACAGCAGTGAGATTGGAAACTGCCCCTTCAACCAAGATAGCCAAATGCCCTCCCGCAGCTCTAAGGACTCGGGGTCCAGGACCCCCACAGGGACGCACAGGAGGAGGGGCTTCTGATGGGAGTGGAGGAGGGGGGAGGAGGGCAGAGAGAAGGCCGAGGAGGAGAGGAAGAGCATTCACTCAGCTAAGAGCAGGGTGGTAAGAGCAGGCGTGAATGGACAGAACAGGAGCCCTCCTCCCACCTAAGGGGGTCTAGGGCACTGCCCACTCAGCATGCCTCCCTCCTGGAGCCACATGGCACTGAGCTCCTGTACTCAGGGTTCCTTCCCCAGAGCCTGGGCGGTCCTGGGAGGGCTCAGGGAGGCCAGGAGAGGTGCTCACTGGCTTTAGGCAAATGAGGTTCTAGCCACCTTTGGCCAAATGCAAATCTCAGGAGGAAATGATCAAAGAGCCTGGAGGGGAAGCTGAAAAACCAAAGGACAATTCATCCAAATGGGGCTGTTTGTAGGGAACTGGACAGGCCCCGAGGGGCAGGGGGAGGACCCCACTTTCAGCACCCAGGCATCCAGGGTCCTCACCTCCAGCCTCCGTTGGCTCGAACTCCGACCATTTGAGATCCTTGCGGCCATCATCCCTCACACATTTCTATGAAAATGCCCTCCACTATGAATCAAGAGATTCCTGGGTTCAAGTCCGGCTCTTCTTGCTACCCCACTGTGTGACCTTGGTTACCTCACCTTTCTGGGTCCCTGTTCCTTCATCTGCAGATGGGGTGACAATGGTCTAAGGAATTAAAAGTGATGGCTATGAAATGAAAAAATAAAGTCCTATATAAATGTAGACCATTATTATAATCATCATCTTTATTGTTATCATGACTCATAAAATGGTGATCCGGTCTCCTTGTAGAGAGAGAGAATCAAGGGTCCAGGACTGTTTAAATGTCTTTGAAAACATTTCTGGCATCTCAACTAAGCACCAATTCTAGCCCCGGGGATCTACTCTCAGGATCATAACCGTCAGTTAATAACTAACAGGGAAAATACCCACCTACCACCGGACGCTGTGGGCCAGGTTTAAGCCCGCCCTCCCCTTGTCGGCATCTGCGTCTCCCCCCACGACTGCCTCCCGCCAGCCACCACGCTGGGCTCTGCGTCCTCTCACTTTCCAAACAGCCAGGCTAGAGACATGGAGACAGCTGGCCACTGCAAAGAGCTCCGGGGAAAACCAAACCAGAGGAATGGAAAACATCACTCACAACAGCCCAAAGGCAGAATAACCCCAGTGCCCATTAGCCAACGGGTGGGTAAACGAAGTGTGGTCTTTCCCATGAGGGACTATTACTCAGCCATGAAAAGGAGAGAAGCAGTGAGACATGCCACAACGCGGACGAACCTCGAACACGGAAGGCTTACGTGAGAGAAGCCAGACACAAGGGGCCACGTATTGCGATTCCATTTACATGAAATGCCCGGAACAGGCAAACCCGGAGACAGAAGGTAGTCAGTGGCTGCAGAGCTGTGGGAGGAGGGAATAGGCAGTGACCGCTCATGGGCCTGGGGGTATAGCGTGAGGTGATAAAATGTCCTGGAACTACACAGTGGTGATGGCTGTGCAATGTTGTGAATATACTGAAAACCGCTGAATTATCCACCTTAAAAGGGTAAATTTTATTACATATAAGTTGTATATCAATTTTTTTAAATATATTTTATTGATTTTTTACAGAGAGGAATAGAGAGTTAGAAACATCGATGAGAGAGAAACATCGATCAGCCGCCTCCTGCACACCCCCTACTGGGGATGTGCCTGCAACCAAGGTACATGCCCTTGACCGGAATCGAACCTGGGACCCTTGAGTCCGCAGGCCGACGCTCTATCCACTGAGCCAAACCAGTTAGGGCTGTATATCCAGTTTTTAAAGGAAGGAGACAGAGGGGCTGACTGAGCTCCACTGCTGTCATCCTGCTGTTTAACTTCTGCTCCGGCTGCCTGTGGTGCCCACGGGG